TTTTTTTTTTTAATTCATATCTCTTCTTACGGGTACGAATTGTTAGTCGTTAGAACAGCAACAATTTCAATTGGTTAATACATTTAAGACAACAGCAACAGCGGGGCAGTAATAATAGAAATCAAAAAGAGAAAGACAAGAAAACAATTGCTTATTTTCAGTGAATAAGTGTTTCCAATTATACCGACTTTGAAAAATATATAAAACAAAAGAAAAGGATAATAAAGGAAGAAAAATTTGATTGAAATGACAAAAAAATTTGATTTTTTTTTTCTTCTCTTATTATATGCACTAAATATTTCTGAATTTTATCACTGCCTCTCATATCATTTTTATTCGCTTTTGATGCTTTGATGTCCGGCCAGGCCGTTATCCCGTTTTTGGTGTTTTTCTTCCGTCTATTCTCCGCCGTTTATCATTTTCACCTCCGTCTGGTTCGGGCTTTTTTTTTTTGTTATCACTTTATTGTTGTCACTTATCAGCTACAGAAATTATTCGTCGTAAAACTGATTGAATATACTGTGTTTGTCAAGTTAATTAAATTTCAAAAACAACACTAATAAGCAATAAAACTATATCATTGTTGTTCATCTATGTTGCTAACCAAACATTTCTAGGATATCTGAAAACTTCAAAGGAGAAAGGAAAGTGGAAAAAAAAAAAAGAAGAAATAAAAAAAACAATTTTTGGTTTGATAATTTATCATAGTTTTTTTTTTGCAGCAAAAATAATGAAGACAAAATTACTCTATAATATTCTCAAGTTTTGCTGATTAATTTTGTTACCGCAATTGTTGTTGTTTTTGCTATCGCTGCTGCTGCTGCTACTGCTTGTTTATTTGTTGGTTGTATTTGTGAATTGAATCAGAATCGAAACCGTCCTAAGGGATTCTGTTGAAGTTTATGTAGTTTGTTGATGATGTTACTACTTGTTTTTCTTTCTTTTTTTTTTTCTCATTTAGATCAATGATATTTGCGTCATAAATGATTCAGAAGAGAGGAGAAGAGAGAGGGAGAGAGAGAGAGGGTCAAAAAAAAAGCAAGCAAAAAAAAGCAGAAAGCTTTGTTTCTTTTTTTGCTTTAAAATGTCATATAATTTCGTTCTTCTTTCCTTATTTTTTTTTTTCTATATTTTTCAACGGGTTTCAATTTTGAGCAAATTTTTTTCTTTTTCTCATATAAGTTTATCGATGTGTGTGTGTGTGTGTTTTTGTATGTGAATATGTGCTGGTTTTCTGTTTTTGTTTCGCTTAAAATTATTAATGCTTGTTCATTGCTAGTTTTTTTTTCCTTGTTTTACTATAGTTTTCTTTTTTTTTTTGTGTGTGTGTGTATATTGAATATGAATATTCTAAGCAAAAAAATAAAGGGGATGACGAAAAGGAAAAATTTAATGAACATTCTACAGCACAGTTTTTTTTTTTTTCGTTGTTGTTGTAGTCGTTTGTTGTCCAAATTTGTTCCTTCCTATACATAAGCGTATGTATATGCTGTGATATTTGCACCCATAAAACTGTCAGTATTTGTTATTTGTATTACATTTGATACTCCTATATATATATATATATATATATATATATATATATATATTTCACATATGTATATTGTATGTGCTAATATACGTATATAGAGTTGCACGTAGGAAATGATATATACCTATGAATGCCTTGTTTAGTTGCACTAATAACGTTTGATGCAATTTCTTAGGCAACGGAATGGAAACAAAAAAGGAAACAAAGAGAAGTTGAAAAACCTTATGTATATAAATTTGTAGGCAATTAGGTAACAACAGGGGGGAAAAAAAGAAATATTATTTATAAATCATTTGCATATATGAACAGGTATTCGTTTTTTCAAATTGAAA